CCTGAGGGTAGGACGAGAAGCAATGGGTGGAAGCTAATCAAGGAGAGAAGCAACTTAAAACTGAGGAGAAATTTCCTGACGGTTAGAACAATTAATCAGTGGAACAGCTTGCCTCAAGAAGTTGTGAATGCTCCAAAACTGGAAGTTTTTTTTAAAAGAGAAAAAATACATTTGTTACCTTGGGTCCTGTAATGGCACGTCCTGGAAGCCCTGGTATTCCCAGACGTCCTGGGGAACCAGGTTCACCCTGCCATAAGAAAAAAAAAGAGAAAAATTTCAAAGGAGTATTACTTAGTGCAGTATTTCTCAACCTCAGGGAACTTTACCAAGTGTGATTTTCAACTCCAGGAATTCTCCAGAAATTCTGGTTGAAGAATTTTGGGGGTTGTTGAAGTCTACACGCGATAAAGTTCTTGAGGTTGAAAAACACTCACATAGTGAATTCAGTAAACTTAAATTTCCAGCTATAAACAAATGGCTTGATTTCGGGGGTAAACCTTTCCCCTATGTTAAAAAATTGAATTATGTGGCTGTATATAGATTATTGCAATTTTTAAATGTTTTAAAAGCAACCTCCCATTTTATATCTGAAAAAAATCAGATATATTCCCTATGTTACTAATACTTTATGGACACTTTTTAAAAAGGAGTTTCTAATTCTAATTGCAGATTAGTTTCTCTGTCTTTTTGCCTAAATCTTTAACAAAGGCTTCCTAAATCCACCTTCTTCCAAATGAGTTAATATTAAAATTTTGATTATCCTAAGCTGATGTACCAAATTTAACAAAGCTGCTCTGAAGTAGGTTATTCATTTAGCAAATCAGGATCAGGATGAACATGGAGGAAGAGACTTCCAATGTAGGTGGAGTTTCTTTTGATGCAGATTATTTTTATTATAAATCGCTTAAGACAGGCAGCTCTACAAATCAATTAAATAAATAAACAAGCAATGTGGTGGCAAGCTACAGGATATGGCATATATCACGGCTACATTGACCATACATTGACCACATCCAGTGAAGTCTTGGTCACAAAGTTTGTTGAGAGATCAGATATGATAATAAGAACAAAAATAAAGTGATACTTTAGCCCCGGCAGGTCCAGGGACTCCGGTTGGTCCAGATAAACCACGTATTCCTCTTTGACCTTGATCACCCTAGGAAAAGTTTTAGAAGGCATTCAGACAACACATGCTTTAAGTTTCTTGATGAAAGCAAAAAAAATATTGCAAATGCAAAGGATGTTGGAAAATTCAGTATGTATCTGTACAAAAAGTCAAACATCTTGCATTGGTCAGTTCAACTAGACACAGACAATTCCTTCTTGTATCAATACATCTTTATTTCTTCTTGTATCACCTGTCAATGACTTCTTTAGCTTCAACCTCAATAATACACGGGCAAACAATAGATACAAACTCAAGGTAAACCGCTCCAAATTTGATTGCGGAAAATACGACTTCAGCAACAGAGTGGTCAATACCTGGGATGCCTGGACTCTGTTGTTAACCCTCACAGTTTCAATCTTAAACTGTCTACCGTGGACCTTACCCCATTCCTAAGATGTCTGTAAAAGGGGCGTGCATAAGCGCACCAGCGTGCCTACCATCCCTGTCCTACTGTCCCCATTTATTTGTACTCATTCCCTTTGTTCATGTTTATACTTATACCTGTTATCTTGTACACGTTTGACAAACTAACTAACTAAAATAAAATAAGTAAATAAATACATCTTTAACTTTAGCTCTAAAGGACTGGGAGAATTTCCACAGCAAATTTGGGCTAAGGAAGGAAATGAAAAGAAGAAGAAGGGACATTCTCAACATCTGGCACTGAATTTCTGAACAAAAAAAAAAAAGCTTGATAAAATCCACTTTCCAAAAAGCATTTGGTACTTCTAATGATGGAAACATATTTTATTTATTTTGGCGTGATCATTCCAGAAACAATGAACATATAATTCCTTGCCTTTTCGCCCTGAATTCCAATTCCAGGAGCACCTTCTGGACCACGTGGGCCAGGCAAACCTGGTTCTCCCTGTAAGACAGCATAGTATAGGAGCATTAAATATTTTGGTATGGCATAGATATGAAGAGATGATGTCTCTGTGAATAAGGAAGTCCCTGGATGGCATCCTACAATACAGTATATCTTCGAGAAAAGGCACATATGTGCAATCTCACAATGCTTTTAATCAAGCACTTTTTATTTGCCATCACCGTGTATTCTTTAAAGATTTGGTGGATCCCATATATCATCTTCTACTTGCAACCTTCCAGTGTTTCCCCACCATTTATTCCATTTTTTTAACATATGAAAGAAAGATGGATTAGCTAATCGTGTCTTTTGACTGACTGCATGGCTAAAAGTTCTCTAAGAAGGAATAAATACCACCAGTCTCAGCCCACTTCTGTAATCTCTGAGTGTCATTGCTTAATCTTCCGTATAAAGCAAGTGCAAGAATTATGACAAGATGATGCATTGGAGGGTTGTGCAAGCAGTAAATCTTATATGTAATACACTGAGCAATATGACATAGAGATCTATATTATTTTTTTACTATATATTTACTTCGCACTGGGGAAGCATGGAAAAGACAAACGAGGAAACACAAACTTTAATGCAAAACATACATGTTACTTATTGTGTGCAAGACAACAATGCTAGTATAAAGGGGAGGAGGTACTGTCATGATGAGCCGAGGTGGCGCAGTAGTTAGGGTGCAGTACTGCAGGCCACTTCAGCTGACTGTTATCTGCAGTTCAGCGGTTCCGGCTCAAGGTTGACTCAG